CACCCCACCCCCACCCACACCTTTTTTCCTGCGACCGATTTATGGATTTCTGGGTATTATCTGCACCTTCTACTTCTTTTATGCATTATTGCTTCCGTAATCTGCTCCTCTGACGAAAGTATGCCGTTATCTCACAGGCCTATTGTTAATAACTACGACGACGATAATGGTCAACAACAGCAACTCGACACAACGCCATTTTTCCGGCCCAGCGAGACTAAATTAAATTATGATTGAGAAAAGAGTTGACACTTTTCATACACGTTCGTGGAGAGCGAACAGATTTTTATTTCACACCGTCGTCCTGCACCTGGCAGAAACACATGCCGTATGTCCATCCACCCACAGGTAAAATCAAAAGCGGCGACTTTCTATCGCTGGGTAATCACACGTAACGGCGGAACACGCAAGGCAATCAAACGTCCGTGGGAATGTTGACTTTTGTGACTCTTACTCTTTCCTGAGAGACGAGAGAGGATTATATTGGTGTACATAGGACGAGTATACTGCCTATCGAATTCTTTTGATTGTGTCGGGGCCAACCAGATTATTTTCTCCTTAGAGGGGCACACGCTACGACTTTGGCACAATTCAACCGAATCCGACGAAATTCGATTGTGACCTTCAAATTCAAACGTATTTATTTTTCAAGGTCAGGGGTCGAATCAGTTTTGTTGTTCCAAGATGGTCGCATTTTGTCGTTCCATGGAGAAGGATCTGATTGGATTCGAATCACTTTTATTGAATTCGACTGACAGTGTGCGCTGGATATTTGCGTTATTGCGTACTCTGGTTATATTGTTTGGTGTCCCTCTCTTTGGCACGCAAGAACAATAGCATATTTCTGGTACGTGTAGTCTGAAAACAGGGTGAGCGAAGATTAGTTTTGTTTTATAAAAAATAAATAATCCATGTCATCTGTGCTTTGTCAGAAACAGAAATGTGGATTAACTGCTGCAACGATATGGGAAACGTTCTGAAAACAAAAAGAAAAATGAAAGAAAGAGTGAAAGAAAAAGAGAGGACCGACTTTTTTCCTCTTAGCAAAAATGTGTTTTATACCAACAAAAAATATAACACTGACGAAAAGATGGATGGGGGGTACAAAAAATAACCGTCTCTGCTTACAGTACACTTTTATTCGAATGATGAATTACGTTCCCCC